TTACTCCCAGGATTGTTGTTGTTGCTGCTTGCTGTTGTTGTCATCACACTATATATTTACTGACTTTCTTGAAATGATTTTATAGGTCTAATTTATTTTTTATGTGTGGAAAGACAATCTGAAAAGTCTTACTTTCATTGAAAGTCTCTGATTGATTAGCTTCATGTCCAACTAATGACTTGACAGAGCTTTCCTTAAATTCCTTGAACTAGTAAATTACTGGTAAATTTTGTAGATTATTTTGCATGTTTTATAAACACAATAATCTCATCTTCAAACATAGATTTATTCATTTCTTTCAATCCTTATAACTTTTTTTTTTTTTTTTCCTGGCCTTATTGCAATGAATAGGAATACAAGTTACAATGAGAATAATGGTAATTTTTGTTTTGTAGTTCATATCAGAGAGAAGACTAAATATTACACTGTTAACTATTGCATAGTTGCTATGTGGGTTGTGTAGATATTCTTATTAGATTAAGAAAATTATCTTAAATTGTATTCCTAGCTTGCTAATTGTAAATGATATTTATAATTTATTCCTTTTTATGAGGAATATTTTAAACATTTTATTGAATGGTTTTCTTATATTTTTAATGTGTCTTCTTTATGATATTTCTTCTTTAATTTGTCAATGTAGTGTTATACACTTATAGATTTTGTTGTAGTTATTGTTTTTAAAGTATCTTTACAGGCAGGGAATGAAACTTGATCAGAGTATATCTATATCTGTATCTGGGAGCTGTGGTGGCATAGTGCCTGAGGCATTTGACTGCTAACTGGAAGGCTGGCAGTTCAAACCCACCAGCTGGTCCTTAGAACAAAAATTGGGCAATCTATTTCCATAGAGATGTTGTTGTTGTTGTTGTTGTTTGCCGTCGATACTGCCTTGGAAATCAAAGGAGGAGTTGCTATGAGTCAGATTCAACTAGACAGCAGTGAGTTTCATTTTTTTTTTTAAATATATTTATGCCTATATCTATCTATATCTATATCTGTCTATCTGTACATCTCATTGGATTCAATTAATTAATATTTTGCTGAAATATTTATATTTTCATGAGAGAAATGGCCCTTTGGTTTTACTTTTTATTTTTGGTAATATCATTTTCAGTATTAAGATAACAATGGCTTCATAAAATAACTTAGGGAATTGTTTCCACTCTTCCTATTTTCTGTAATACTTCATAAGTGTATAATTTTTCCTTAAATGTTTCAAAGAATGCCCCCAGTAAATCCATTTTGGCCTAGTTTATAGGAAGAGTTTTAATTGATAATTAAATTTTTTACATGTAAGACTTTTCAAATTTTCTGTTTATTCTATTTTGGCACTTTGAATTTTGATGAATTAGTCTATTTAATTTAAATTGTCACATTTATATTCAAGCAATTTATATTTTTGTGCCAATGTAATATAATCCACTCATAATATATTTTATTTTTAATGTCTGTAAGTATGATAGTGGAGTTATTTTTGTCCTGATATTTTATTGTGTGTCAAATTAATATTTATTAATCAGTCCAAAGTACCTGTATTACACTAATTTTCATTATTATTAATTTTCAATTCTAGAATTTCCACTTAGTTCCTTTTTTATAGATATAGTTTTCTGGTATAATTCATCATCTTTTCACTTTTTGTGTATTTATTGATTGAACTATTTTAAATTCTATATCTGAAAATGCCAATATCTACATCATCTATTGGCCTATTTCTACTGTCTGTGTTTTCTTCTCCTTCTTCTTTTTTTTTTTTTTAATGATATGACAGGTAAGGAAAATTTTAGAACAATTTTATGATTGTGTTTTCCTGCAAAGAGAATTCTCTTGCTTTTGACAGGTAATAGAATAGGGAAGATCATATTAATGCAATTAGAAAATGATATGATCTTATTTAAGGTTGGAATTCACAAATTTTATGGACTTTTCCATTTCCATTCTGCAAAAGGTATCATCTTTTAGTGGTCCCAATTGAAAGCTATAGTTATTTATAAGAGTTACAACACCTGAGTCTTCACTGAACTCCAGTTTTTATTTTCCCAGAACCATGATATACTTGATAGTTTCTTTCATTTTTAAGCTTTTTAGCATTGATGCTTTCCCTCTTCAATTCTATACATTAATTGAATATAAATTAATTAATATTCCAAGAGAAAAAGCATCTTGAAGTGTTAAGATTTCTCTTCACTTTCTTCTCTCTGGGATCCTGGCCTCTCAAATTCTGTCTGCCTTGGCAGCTCTGAATCTCAATTTTTGTCTCTTTAAAAAAACTGATAAAAGCTTCAATGAGTTTCTCTGCCTCAGAGAAGTAATTTTTTTACATAGCTTTATCACCTCTCTTTCTTCATTTGATAAGAGGAGTTAATGCCTCAAGGAAAAAATTTGGAATGAATGTTTCATCTCAGGAAGTTTCCCATCTGTTTGTGATTAGAATATTCAATTGCTAGCTTTCAAACGTGCTGCTTCCTAATTTTCATCTGGCCTTTAAAAATTTGCTTTAAAGACTGGAATGGACTACTGAATACTATTTAATCATGACTGAAAATAGCTCTCAGTTTAATTTCAATTTTGGGCATAGATTCAAAGTAGCACATGCAGGGAATGTGTGGAACATAGACAATATAGACACTTATCCTTCAGAAACACTCTATTAGTTTTTCTAGATTTAGCAAATAAAAATATAAGATACTCAATTAAATTTGAATTTCAGATAAATAACAAATATTGTTTGCATGAAACATACACATATTGCATAGAATATACTTAAATTTTATTTATTGTTTATCCGAATTTCAAATTTAAATGAACATACTTTATTTCATCTGACAATTTTAATCCTTAAACAACAATGAGTAAACAATTAAACATATACATAATGAAAATGGCTTTACAAAAACTGATTGGAACACTAGAGAAATTATAGGAATGTGAAAATAATAAGCTGATATATTCCCTTATTAAAATATAAGAAAATACTAAAAAATTATTTGGTATCCTTGGGATATTAAAAGGTAAAATGTTACAACACAGCTGTAAAAAGCTTTATGACAAATGTCCCAGCTAAATTGAAAAGACAAGGGACTATAGATAAGGAAGGAACTAATATAAGGAAACTAAGAAGAGCCAATACAGGTTTTACCCACTGGTGGTGCAGTGGTTAAAACACTTGACTGCTACCAGAAAGATCAACAGTTTAAACCTACCAGTTACTCTGTGGGACAAAGATGTGGCAGTCTGTTTCCATAAAAAGTTACTGCCATGAAAACCCTATGGGGAAATTCTACTCTGTCTTATAGGGTTGCTATGAGTTGAAATTGACTGGATGGGAGTAGTGGTTTTGGGGAAGTAAGGGTAGGAGGAGGTGAGGTGCGGAGGTTCAACAAGAACAGAATTAAAAATGCTAAGTATTATATTAGTGATGTCAGGAATGCACTTGAGAAATTCTCCCAGAGTGTTGATGAAAAGGCTATTAATGAACTGATAAGTAGGAGAATGGTAGTTAATATAGATAATGGAGAGAGATATTAAAATCTATAGTTCTTCCTACAATAACTAGATTTACTGCTTTTTGTTCCCTTTTAACTGAGAAATGATAATTGACCCTTGAGCAGTCATAATTTGTCAGCAAGTCTTATTTTAACTTCCATTTAGAAATGGAGATTGTCTTTACTAACATGTCCTCAAAAATCTTTACATTCCATACAATGTTTTCTGAAGAATAATACATAGAAATAATTCAGTAAGAAAATAATCAAAGTATTAATTTTGATGTCATTCAGGTAATTCTAAATATCCATAATGAGTATATATTTGTTCTGGTTACCTAGTGTCACTCTGATAAGAATATACCACAAATGGGAAGGCCTTAACAAACAGGAGTTTATTCTTACAATTTGGAGGCTTTAAGTCCAAGTTCAAAGTGCCAGGCTCTAGGGGCTGGGTGAAAGCCCCTCAACCTTGGGGTCCAGCTCTGCCTCCTGCTCCTGGCCCACTGGAGCTAGAGGCATTTCTTCACTCAGACAGCTTCTGGCTGCTGAGGCTGAGAAGCCCCAAGGTTGACAAGTAAAAAGGCACAGTCCCGATGTTACCAAACCACATGGCAGGCCATTTACTTAAGTCCATTGTAAGTCTCAAGGTCAGCAGAGCATCGCAGGCTGCTGAGCAATGACACGGCTACATGCAGGCCCCAAATGTGCCATAGGTTAGAAACCATTCCCAAGGCTTCTCCTTATATACAGGAAGCAGACCACCTACCCAAAGGCTGCTACTCAGCTGCTCCCAGTAGATTCCACCATGGAGTTGATTACCAGTCTCATCATGGGGAATACTACATCCAGTTGCCCGGCCACTCAACCAGGCCTAGCCAGGTTGACATACAAACATAACCATCATAATATTAATGATAAAGTTAGAAGTAAAAGTTTTGTTTTTGTTTAAGTAGATAGAATTTTGGATTAGTCTCACCCTTACACTCAAGTTGCATAACCACAATTAAAGATTAACACCAAATTATTAATGGTAGAAATAACTGAACATTGGGGCCATGAATGGTAGCTTTCTCTTTTGTCTCTGTACTCTTTCATTCATCTTTCCAGAAAGAGATTATATCTAATTGTTAAAATAAAATTTAACTTTTTAAAAATCAAAATTGTAGTTTGGTAATTATTTATTAGATGTTAATATAAATTGTTTTGATGGGGAAAGTAATATATATGATAGCCATTAAAAGAGAACTTTTCATATGTCAAATATAAAGCTCAAATCTTTATATATTCTTTTGTTTAACACCCAAAGCAATCATGGAGTTACCTTAATTAACATTCCAACCTCTAATTCCAGAGCCAAGTTTGTTCACTAACTAGATACATGGGTCGCTGCTTATTAAATTAATTGTGCTCATCAAATTATTCAATAAACTGCTATAGATTAGTTAAATGAGAGAAATGAGCTGTTTGTTTAGAAAATCTCGTTATTCTAAACTGTATTTCTTCTCTAAGCAGAGATGAAGTGGCTCTCTCCTCAGCCAATGAAGCAGGTATTCTCATTGGCTACTGTCCACAGCAGGATGCCCTTGATGAACTTCTCACTGGTAGGGAACATCTCCATTATTACTGCAGCCTGCGTGGGATTCCAAAGCAACAAATACCTGAGGTGAGTGTCCTTGGTTTCTAGAAAAAGGAAATTACTCAGAATTTCTAGAAAAAGGAAACTACTCAGGAATGCATGGTGACCACTTCTGACTCTGAATACAACTCTCCTACCCTTGAAGGAGAAAGAACCATTAGTACCCGATAAATTTCCTTGGAAATGTATTTTCCAGTATGATTATACTGAAAGAAATAAAATATATTTATATTTTATTTATGGTAATTTATATTATACATTTAAAATATATCTGTGTGAGGAAAGGATGTGATAGAAGTTAAACATAAATAAAATCACTTGTAACTTTTACCATTTGCTTCCCCCACCCCTTTCTTTAAATGCCTACTATTTTACTTCACTATCTATTTGTCAGGAGCTCTTGTGGTGTAGTACCTAAGGCATTTGACTGCTAATCAGAAGGCTGGTGGTTCAAACCCACCAGCCACTCCTCAGACAGAAGGTTGGGCAATCTACTTCCCTAGTGATATCCCCTCAGAATCCCAAGGAGGGGTCGATATGAGTCAGATATGACTCTATGGCAGTGAGTTTTTTGTTGTTGTTGTTGTTATTTATTTGTTAAACCAGGAACAGATATCATAAACCCCAGGATCTGACAAAGAAGTGAACATAGAATATGTGTGGGGTTTATTGGATTATTTGAATGGATGGCTTCTAGGTGAGTAGGTTGGTGGTTTTCTGCCTGGGTTCTTTCTTGCTTTCTTCAAGGGAATGCCAGACTGGCAGAAGCTGCAGAGTCTTCCTTTTTATCCATCCCTTCACTTATGAAAGGAGGGAGGTAGTAGATGGAACAGTAAGAAGACAAGAGACAGCTGTCATTATTCTCCGTTCCTGAACAGACAGTGCTACCTGAAAATACAGAGTTGTTCCAAACAGGGAACCACTGGAATAGCAGATGCTTGAGGAAAATTTTGAGTGCCTTCCAATCTAGGAGGATCATCTTCTAGCCCTCTATTGGGCAATATTCTGTCGTGATTTCATTGGCTGATTTTTTGAAGTATATTGCTTAATCTGACTTACTCTACAAGCTGTGCCAAACCTGTCCACCATGGGTGGCCCTGTTGGTATTTGAAATATCAGTGGTATAACATCCAGCACCATAACAACACAAAAATACCACATTACAACAAACTTAGAGATAAGGAGTTATATATTTAGTTACTATCTGTACATTCCTAGATGTAAAACACTACTGTGCCTTACTTTCCATTATCTTTTTTTTTTTAATTAAAGAAAGAAAATTATTTTGTTTTTGTCATTGTTCACAATATACACAGAAAAGCATACACTAGAAATTGCTACATGTACAACTTAGTGACATTGATTACATTCTTCATGTTGAGCAACCATTCCCAAAACAGTTGTGCAGTGATTTCTGAATTATTCCCTCACTCTTTACATGAACTCATTTTCCCCTGAGTTTCTTTGTGAAATTTTCAAGTTTTTGTCAGTGTGATCTGATATAGTTAGTGTTTTAGTTCTCTAGTGCTGCTCTAAAAGAAAATACCACAGGTGGAATAGTTTTAATAAGCAGGCGTTTATTCTCTTACAGTTTTGGTTGCTAGAAGTCTGAGTTCAAAGTGCCAAGCTCTAGGGGCTGGGTGAAAGCCCCTCAACCCTGGGCTTCAGCTCTTTTTCTCCATCCAGCCCACTGGACCTGGAGGCATCCCTTCACTCAGGTAGCTGCTGGCTCTGGGGCTAACACGTGCAAGGCCCACAAGTGAAATGGCATATTCCCAAGGTTACCACACAACATGGAAGGCTACTGGTTCAAGTCCAAGAACAATCCTAAAATTAGCAGACAACATGAAAGGCTGATGAATGAAGACTTGGCTATATGCAGGGTCTAAGCATGCCAAAAAGCTTCAGAGATCTTTCTCAAACCTTCTCCTTATATACTGGAAGCAGACCACATCCCTATGGCAGCCACTCAACTGCTACAGTAGATTCCACAGTGGAGTTGGTTATCAGTCTCATCATGAGCTGCCCAGCCACTCAAAACAAGGCCCAGCCAAGTAGATACACTATCTTAACTACTACAGCTAGCTGAAAAAGCATAATTCTCAAGGCAGATGTTCTTTACTAATTAAGCGCAATGACTGTTGGCTTTAAGGAAGACTTCAAGGAATATTTTTTGTTTAACGTTTAAAGATTATCACAGGGCAATAGTTTTAGGAGTTCATCCAGCTTCTATTGTTCCAGAATGTCTGGATTCTATAAGAACTTGAAATTCTGTACCACATCTTTGCTCCATTTGATCAAGATTCTTCTAAAGAATTTTTAATCAAAATGTTGGGTAATGGTAGCTAGGCACCATTCAGTTCTGGTCTCATGGCAAATGTGGAAGTAGTTCAGAGGCAATTAGAAATAGATTACTTGTTTCTCTCCTTCTTCCCAACTCTCCTTCTTTTTCCAGGCAAATAGAGATCAATTTATTCAATTGTACCTTGGATGACAGCTTACAAATTTTTAAAACTCCAGCACTACACAATAAACTGGGAGATAGAACAGAAGCACTAAATATATTAGGCCATGTTCTATGAAACCATGACCCTGAACCTCCAAACTAAGAAAATAAATCCCATGAGACTTTTGGATGTACAGGCGCAGCAGCATCAGCTGCTCTCTCTCTCTCTCTCTCTCTCTCCTTTTTCTGGTAAAAATATATATAACATAACATTTGCCAATTCAAACTTTTATGTGTGTAAATCTTAGTGACATTAATTGGTTGCACAATTATCACCTTGGTTGTTAGGTGTCGTCGAGTCTGCTCCAACTCATAGCACCTCAAGCAACTCAAGGCTTGAATATTTCTTCAGTTTTTTCAGCTTGAGAAATGCTAAGCTTCGTTTCCCCTTTGGTTTTCTAACTCCATGTCTTTACACATTTTATTATACTTTACATTGTCTTCTTAAATTGCCCTTTAATAGCACAACAGAACACTGCCCAGTCCTTGTGATCCTCACAATGCTTGAGCCCATTGCTGCAGTCACTGTGTCAATCCATCTTGTTGAGGGCCTTCCCCTTTTTCACAGACTCTTTATTTTACCAAACATGATATCCTTCTCCAGGGGCTATTCCCTTCTGACAGCATTCAAAGTAAGTGAGACAAAATTTGGCCATTCTAGCTTCTGAGGAGCATTCTGGCTACAATTCTAGGACAGATTTGTTCATTCTCCTGGCAGTCTATGATATTTTCAGTATTCTTTCCCAACACCACAATTCAAATGTATCATTTCTTCTTCAGTCTTTCATATTCATTTTCCAGTATTCACAAGAGTATGATGGGATGGAAAATAGCATGACTTGGATAGGCCCTTGAAGCAGATTTGCCCAGTACAATATGAAGTCTGACTTCTTGACTGCTGCTTCCATGGCTGTTCATTGTGGATTAAGTAAAATGAAATATTTGACAATTTCAATGTTTTCTCCATTTATTGTAATGTTTCTTATTGGTCCAATTTTGAGGATTTTTGTTTTCTTCATATTGAGGTGTAATCTTACTGAAAACAGTAGTCTTTGATCCTCATCAATAAGTCCTTCATGTCATCTTCAAGTTCTGCAAGCAAGGTTGTTTCATCAGTTTACCACAGGTTGTTAATGAGCCTTCCCTCAATCTTGACACCTCATTCTTCACCATATAGTCTAGTTTCCTGGATCATTAACTTAGCATGCAGATTGAATAAATATGGTGAAAGGATACAACCCTGACACATGTTTTTTCTGATATTAATCCATTCCATATACCCCTGGTCTCTTTGAATGACAGCCTCTTGGTTATATACAGGGCTCTCATAAACAAAATCAAGTGTTCTGGGATTCCCATTCTTTGTTATGTTATCCATAGTTTGTTATGTTTCATTCAGTCAAATGCCTTTACACAGTCAATGAAATACAGGACTCATCCTTCTGGTATTTTTTCATTCAGCCAAAATCCATCTGACTTCAGCAATGACATCCCTCTTTCCATGTTCTCTTCTGAATCCAGCTTGAATTCTGGAATCTCCCTGTCAATATTCTTCTGCAACCATTTTTAAATTATCTTCAGCAAAATATTTGTGTGTGATATTAATGATATTGTTTGATAATCTCCATACTCTATTTTATCACTTTTCTTTAGAATTGGCAGAAATATGTATCTTTTTGCAGAAGAGCTAAACAATACAATCCACCAACTTGGCCCTATAGACATCTACAGAGAACTTCACCCAACAGCAGCACAACATATATTCTTCTCCAGTGCACATGGAACATTTTCCATGATAGACCATATGTTAGGCCATAAAACAAGCCTTAATAAATTTGAAAACATTGAAATACTGCAAAGCATATTCTCAGATCATAATGCTCTCAAATTAGAAATCAACAATAGGAACACAACAGGAAAAGAGTAAACACATGGAAACTGAACAACACCTTCCTTGAGAAAGACCAGATAACAGAAGAAATCAAAATTGAATTTTGAAATTCCTTAAATCAAACAAGAATCAAAACACAATATACCAAAATCTTTGGGACACAGCAAAAGCAGTGATCAGAGGCCAATTTATAGCAATAATTGCACACATTAAAAAAGAAGACAGAGCCAAAATCAACACTTTAAACCTACATCTCCAACAATTAGAAAAAGAACAGCAAGAAAAGCCTACAGTCACCAGAAGAAAGGAAATAATCAATGAAACAGAAAACAGAAGGGCTATCGAAAAAAATCAACAAGGCCAGAGGCTGGTTTTTTTAATAGATCAATAAAATTGACAAACCACTGGCAAATTTAACAAAGGAAAAGAGAGAGAGAGAGTACAAATAACATGAATAAGAAATGAAATGGGTGACATCACAACAGAACCAACTGAAGTTGGTGGGAGGGGAGGGGAAGGAATGCTGTTAGATAGATAGAGATAATTATTGATTTGGGTGAAGAGAAGGACAATGTACCAAATGTGACTCACAAATGTAGTGGCATTGAGGAAGAAAAAGACATAGAGAGG